TATATTAAAAACCTGGATGAACCAGAAAACATCATGATAGGTAGAATAAAGTAATCAGAATAGAACATTTGTAGTATTATACTTTTTCTGCAAATTATCCATACTAGTCAAATCTATGAAAGCAGAAATTAGATTATTGATTACCTGAGTCTGACTGCCTGTGAAGATGGGGAAAAAGGGAGTAACTCTGAGGTGAACATAGTTTCTATTGGTGGTGATGAGTATGTGCTAAAATTGACTGCAGTGATGATGGTACAACTAGCAATATGCTAAAATCCATTAACGTACAATTTGAATACTTGCATTATATGATACATGCATTATATTTCAATGAAGATGTTTAATACATAATCTGTGGGTCACGAACAAAGGGATCTTAGGCAAGCAATGTCAAATATATGAATAATATAAACAAAAAAGTGATTTTTAGTTCCATAACTGGAACATTTTATTCTTACATGGGCTTGTAATATATTCACATATAAACTATCGTTAACATTACAAGAAACTTTTTACTAAAATGTAGTAACTAAGGACTTGGGATGCAGCTCAGTGTAGAGCATTTGCCTAGAGCTTATGAGGCCCAAAGACCTAATCCTCAACACTACGAACAAACCAACTAAATGAAAAATGGCATAATTAGAATACTCTGTGATCCTCTTTCACCAAGTAAATGTCCTCGAATACTGCCTATCATCTCTCTGTCTATATCTTTCTCATCTCATGTCTGGATTGCATCTAAGTTGTTTCATCTTTTAGTAAGTACAATTAACAGTGGCTTTAATCCACAGGTGTGGCTAGAAAACATTTTCAATCATTGTTATCTGTGGCATTGGAGATTGAATCCAAGGCCTTAGGTATCCTAGGCAAGCAGTCTACCTATCTGATCCATGATCCCATCCCTTTTGATTTTATTTGTTTTTTGAGGTAGGGTCTTGCTACCTTTGCCACGGCTGCCCTCTAACTCCTTATCCTCATGCCTCTTCCTGGTGTTTACCTGGAATTACAGGCATGAAACCCCTCACCTGGTTCAAAGATAGATTTTTAATAGAAGAAACCAGGAAATGTTCTCTCTGCTAGGTTTTTTCCCTCAATACAAGTTTTCATGATGGAGAGTGGAGGATTAGTTTCTGAGGCTTCCCACAACACAAATTTGTTGTAAAATAACAAAAGCTTACTCTCTCTCTAGATAGTAGGTCACAGAGGGTTGTCTCATTGGAAATGCACTGCACCACTTACAACCTAATAGTCAGAACTTCACAGTAATTTACACTGATAGAGTCAGGCTGACTCCTTACTTTCACTTTTCCTTGCATGTGCATTACATCCTGCTAGAGGAGACATTAACGAAGGGTGCTTCACATTTGAATGTAAGGGGCCATGAATTTGAAAAAAGTGATATTGTCTGGCTTTGGAGTTTTCTGCAATTTAGTGTATATATTCCTTGAAGTACCTATTAAGACTTCTAACAAATGTTTTGTTAAAATATGTTGTGCACAATAACAATCCAAAGTGATTATTTCTACCATGGATCTGATAATTAGGAAATAAAATGATATTTTTTTCTGAGCCAGTAATACTATATAAAAGATCCCTTTTTTACAAATTGTGGTAAATAAATAGAATATTAAATTATTAATATATTATTAAATCATTTTTGTTACTTTATTTGTACATTGCATTGACACTGACAATATTTACATTGTGTATTTACAATGATAGCAATTAGTTTAAAAACTTTTTTCATTTTGAAAAACTTAAAGTCTGTATAATATAAACAATAATGTCCTGCCTACTAACCCTAGCCCCTTTCAACAACAATTGCATGGCACTATTTCTATAAATTTTATTACTCTAGACACCTCATGTAATATGATTTGTCTGTTTGGGCTGTATTATTTCATATAGCAAAATGTCCTCTGTGTTTAGCTGTTCTATAATATGAGTCCGCATTTCCTTAATTTTTAAGTCTGAATGACAGTCCATTATTAGTATATAACTCATCCATAGATAAACATTTTGGATACTTTAAATAGTGCTGATCTGAATGACAGTGTATAAATAATCTCTCAATCTTCTCAATTTTGGGGGAGATGTATGACCAAATGTTAAGTTCTAAATCATATGATGCATATATTTTTAAACATTTGAGCAGCAGTCATTCTGCTTCTCATAGCACATGGATCATGTGACATTCCCACAAACAATGGGCACATGAGATCTTCTTTCTCCACATCCTGGGTCATACTGGTGATTCTTGTGTGTGCATATCCTCAGGGGTATGGCGTGTTATCTCACAATGGTTTTATTTGCAGTTCCCCAGGAGTAATGTTTTTCTCTAAAATTTAATCTGTTTACTCACAATGCAGAAATTATCGAAAAAAATCCATATAAGTACTTTTTTGCCTTTAATTAGATATTTTTGTCCTATTGGTCTCTTTTTTTGTTTTCCTTTGTTTTGATATCAACTTGTAGGAGATATATTTATATACTGAGGATTAACTCCACATCAGGTAAATAACTTAGAAAGATTGTTTCCTTTCCACATGTTACATTTCCATGCTGTTTATCGTGTCCTGAAAGGCCCTGGGTTTTTAAATTCTAAAGTATTTCAACTTACTGTTTTTTCTATAGTTTCCTGTGCTTTTGGTGTAAAGGTGCCATTTTTAAAGGCCATACTTTCTTTTTTTATGCTGAGATAGTAGTAGTCTGAAAATTGAATTATCCTTTTGTCACTAAACTATCTGGATATGCAGAGACACTACCTTGTTCTGCACAGCCTTCACTACATAGTGAAGAGTTCCTGGAAAGCTGTTGATAATTATCTATGATGGTTCAGGTAAGGGTATACACTCCACACCTTTTGTTCTATGAGGTACAGCACATAGGAACAAATCAGTCCCCACTACAATCCTCCCATGATTTTTTGGTTTCAGTATGGATGACATGGAAGGTTCTTCATTTCTTCTGGCAGGTCCAAAAGATAGCAGTTTAAGTAGAAAATAAAGGACTGTGAACCATCAGTGTTCTAGGTTATAAAGATCAAGTCCACCATGCAGAAAGGAATCCATTACGGGATATTGAATTACTCAGATGCTATTGGGAAGTCATATGCAACAGACTCCAGGAAAGACACTACAGTCTATCCAAGAATACCACCGTTGATTTAGCCTGTGGGTGGAACCCTGCTGCCTGTAGCTCCAGACTCATTTCAACTACTTAATCCTCCATGGCTGATAACACTGAGTACTTATTTTTGTGTTCATGGATGTGCACATTAACAGTCACATGATCGGTCAAGGGAGGGCTCAATGGTTGGCTCTATTACAGAGTGCTGAGCTTATCTCCAGCCAATGGATTTCCTGGATCCGGGACCAGGGCTTTAGGACAATAACCACCCAGGGAATGGCATTTCATAACAAGGCAACGAGCAGACAAAATCTGCACACCAAAATGTAATGGTGAATTTAAAACTGGTCATATTTAATACAGATTTTATCCTTTCATTTTGGCCATCACTAAAGTTTCCAAAAGTCTTCATTTCTTTTAAATGTCTAGGTATTTGAAAATACCATATACAGACAGTTATATTTTCATCCCTTATAGTTGACCAAACTTTTTCAAATTTACTGCATTGAGTTGAAAATCAAGCCTACTGAATTTTCAATATGTGGCATAACATGCAGATTATGTTAAATGGATGCAAGGAAGAAAAGAAAATCTCCTTAGTGTAGCAAACTGACTCCTAACCTATACCTTCTGGAACTTCTATAGATCCCCTTTCCTCTTGCCAAAATGCAGATTCTCATTCATTTTGAAGTTGGCTCTGATCTTTTCCACGTTTAAAGTGTTCTGTGTGATATTCACTGTGCTGTAGGCATCTAGAGGTTTGTTGAGTAGAGAGTTGCTTTATATTAAGATAAAAAATGATTGATAGGTTCACTATTAAGATTTTCTGCTGTTTTATTTAGTTTTGCTCTTGGGCAAGAAAAAGTTTCTGCTTGTTTGCAAATTATTATAAATTTCAGGATTTTTTTTCATTTCTCTGCTTAGTCAATGAGTTCATAGAGTTTTTTTTGCTATGGTCCTATTCTTGCTGGAAAAACTTGCAGGCATGCCCCAGAATGCCAGCATTCTTAACTGGCAAAATTCTGAAAGTTGTATAAATGTGAGCATGATTGTGTTTTATTAAAATGAATTTCATCTGAAGATGCCTATGTACTTGAGTCCTTATTTAATAACTGGCAACCCAAACTACACCATAATTGAATAAGCCAATTTAGCAGCAAACTTTTTTGTCAAATAGCTGAATTATAGACAATCACAGCAGAGAGTTTCAATAACAATCAGCCAACAGCTCAGAAAATGTTAAAATGAAGCAAATATGAGATGTAAACAATCAAGATATGTCATCCTCACTTATGATTTTAGTCCAAATATTAGAATTTATGGGATTATTAATCAGAATTCTCCACACTTCTGCTTGTTTGGAGGAGTGTTCAATTAATTACTTTTTTCTTTGCTCAAATCAACTCAGGTAAATGTAATTTTTCTAAGATTTTCTGTATACTTGATACAGTCAGCTATCATCCTCATCAATTCCAAAAGCATATTCTCCACCACTGTTTGCCCTCTATAAAGTCCTGAATACTACTGCATAAAAGGCCCTTGTAGAAATCAAAAGTCAGAAGAGGATGATTCAATATGACACCAACAGATGGTACATGGATAGAGAGCAAGACTAACAAATCACTTGTGAGCAGCTGTCAGCAGCTGAAGGCATCAGAACTCCATGCCTGAACTTTATAGACAGTACAGAGCACCACAGGGTTAAAAAGCTTGTACTTTCATTGTCACATGAGACAGTGTTTAGGGGGAAGTAACAGAGAATTCCTTTTTTCTAGTGTTGATTTTATTCAATAGCGTAGTCATATTTAAAAGGTTGTAGCTCTCAGGAGCAGAGATCAGGAGGATCATGGTTTGAAGCCAGCCCAGAGTGTTACTACCTGTGGATGCCACTGTTGATATGGAAAAAATTGAGGAAATGTTTGCTGGTCTGCATATTGTTAACCGTTCCTTGGCACCTAAAGAGCCCACTTATCTGCTTGGTATAGACACATCAAAGACTGTACAAGCAGGAAAAGGAAGCTTGGTTGCAGTTTTATGTTCTAATGGATCAATAAGAATACATGATAAAGAAACGCTGAATATACTGCGAGAATTCAGTGGATATCCAGGACTTCTTAGTGGAGTCAAATTTGGAAATTCCTGTAACAGTGTATATTCAGCAAGTACTGATGGCACTGTGAAATGCTGGGATGCTCGAGTAGCCAGTGAAAAGCCTACTCAGCTGTTCAAGGGTTACCCTTCCAATATTTTCATCAGTTTTGATATCAACTGTAAGGACCATGTCATTTGTGCTGGCACAGAAAAAGTTGATGATGATGCATTGTTGGTATTTTGGGATGCAAGAATTAATTCTCAGGATTTTTCTACTGCTAGAGACCCGCTTGGTGCCGATTCAGAGACACATAGTGATGATGTCACTCAAGTATGCTTCCATCCCAGCAATCCCAACATGGTTGTCTCAGGTTCAACTGATGGCCTGGTAAATGTATTTGATATTAGTGCTGATGATGAAGAGGATGCCCTGCTTGCAACCTGTAACTCAGCATCATCAGTAAGCCATATTGGTTGGTCTGGAAAAGATTATAAACAGATTTACTGCATGACACATGATGAAGGATTTTGTTGGTGGGATCTCAATCACTTGGATACTGATGAACCAATTACACGTTTGAATATCCAAGACGTCAGAGAAGTAATTGATGTGAAAGAAGGTAATTTGGACTGTTTGATTGGTGGCTTATATCATGAGAAGATGAATAAATTATTTGTTGTTGGAGGTGCAAACACAGGAAGGATTCATTTAATGAGCTGCACCACTGCAGGACTGGCCCCAGTGGCCAGCCTGGAGGGAGGGCATACTGCCACAGTTCGATCCTTCTGTTGGTGCACAGTTACTGCTCTGGAAACCTGGAGCTGTGGAGAAGACCTTTACAAAGAAAGGCGGCATGAAAGTGGTATCCTCTGTGCACCAGCGAGTGCGCATCCATAGTAGCCATTCTTACAAGAGAAGGAAAAGGTGATGCTGCCTTGGGAATTTACTTGATAGTCTGTGTGTGTGTGTGTGTGTGTGTGTCTGTCTGTCTACTGCCTATAGTAAATGTAATTAAACTTTATATATAAAAACAAGCCAGTTAGCAAACAGTAGGACAAATGCTGAGGATGGCATAATTCAGGTTTATATTCTAATACATTTTTAAAACCCATCTATTGAGTTAATAAATGTTGGGTTTAAAGAAGTAGATCTGATAGCAACTTTTTAGAAGTAGATAGCTGATGAAACTTAATAAAACCAGTGTTTTGGGCTGTTTTTTAAGTTCAGATTTTTACATTTGAAATTATCTTCATTGTTTATACAGCCAAACCAGACTATTGATTTGAGGAGCTTCTACTTCTTTAATATATCTAATATATTACCTTGGAGTATAAATGTAAATATTCTCATGAGTCTAAGTAGAATTATATATATTTTTTGAAATGAATGAGTATACCTAAAATGAGAAAAATATATTCAGTAAATATTTGCATCTATACTTTAATACTATTTACTATTGGCGGAACAGTAAACAAGTGTTTTGCTGATGAAAAGGAAATTTCTCTTGCTAGATTCATTTTAAGACAATGGCTCAAGTGGCAGAGCACCTGTCTAGCAAGTGTGAGGCCTAAGTTCAAACCCCAGTGCCACCAAAGAAGAAAATATTCAAGATGTTTCAAGTATGATATATTTGATACACCCCCACCCAGCACAACAGGAAAAACAATTAGAAGACTCAAAGTAAAATATAAAAATGAAAATATAATAGTAGGACTATTTTTGTTGTTGGTTTTTATTTTGTTTTTTGCAGTACTGCAGTTTGAACTCTAGGAATAATAGTAGGACTGTTTTTATTTCAAAATAGCCTTTCAATTGTACTTTGTGATAAAATTTTGTTCTATAGTATTTATCCATAATTTTAAATTTGAAGTTTTGTTTATTCTTAATCATATCATTCTTTCTTTTAAAAAGTATTTCTGTAAAGAATCTTAATAAAAGAAGTTAATTTTTCTAATAAAAAAAAAAAAGGTTGTAGCTTAGATTCTGATTCCTCCTATTTGAAAAAATTCCTGATTGGATTAAGTAGAGTGGCTTCTATTTTGCTATTTGCATCCAAACTGATGCTGTTGCAAAGAATCCATATTTGAAATGATGTTAATTCTTTATTAAATAAAGAGAGATATTATAATATCTGTGCATCTTAGGGTGAATAGAAGGAAAGAGGGTTAGGCTGTGGAGAAGCCTGTGTGTTTCCCTTTACCACAATCTTCCACAGACTTTCAAAGCTGGAATGTATCTGATAAAAAATGTCTCAGTAGGTGGAGACATGGAGAACAGCAGGTAGGGCAACCCAGTCTCAAGCTTCTGATTCCATTGGTGGTTATTGTTATGACTTGTTACACTGGGTGAGGTATACTGTAAATTTGTTGACTACATTGCCACATCTTCAGACTCCAGGCTGGTGATGGTGAGAGAATAATCTGTCCCAGATCCATTACCACTGAACCTGGAGAGTACCCCATATTCCAAACTGTTAGCACAATAGATCAGAAGCCTAGAAGGTTTCCCAGGTTTTCTCTAATACTAGTTTAAGAAGTTGCCAATGGCGTCATTTGTCTGGCAAGTGATTGTGATTCTGTCTCCTTGAGTTGCAGACCGGGCAAATGAAGACTAGTTCATCTAGATATTTACATCTGACACCTGTTCTCACAAATATAAAAACAAATATTCACACAATTAATGATATTACAAGAGGATATTTCAGATTTGACAAGCATCATGGATGACAATGTGCTAATTCCCAGTGTTTTCCTTTCTTAACTTGGAGCCAGAGGAGCATGGGCCCAAGGACCTGAGCATGGGTCTTCATGTCCATACTGTGTTCAAACTGGGACTGACTCTCGGATAGTGTTTGATCTGTCTATTAAGAAGTCCTCCTGGAAGCTGGATGTACTCAAGTAACATATAAATCAGCAGGGTTGGGAAATGCTGCAGTGCTGTCTCATCTCAGTAACTCAGCATAAGCCATGTGTCTACCAGCTGTCATTTTTGAGACACTTGTCAAAACCTGAGAAGGACCTATTGACTAGATGTGATAAAATCTCTCCTAGGTGTATGAGATAAAGTAGAACATCATTGATTTTAGGAATACCCAGTAGTGTCATAGATGTCAAGTAAAAATGTAGCAAAGACAAATGGATGTTATTAGAAAACACATTGGATTGACTTTATAACAGATTTGTGAATTTGGAAAATTTCATAAAATGAACATAGCCACCTAGAACCTCTGGTCTAGTTTCTTAAGGAATGAAGGGATGAAGGCTTGTCCCTCTTGAGATGTGTGATGCTTTATATAAGTTTCAGTCCATAGTTATCTTCATAGAAGAGATATCACAACAAGGTTCCCGCCCTCCATCTTTGTGAGAAGGTCAAAAGACTCCTTGCTGATATTTAGCTAGCTCCAAGGTGTCCTCAGTCCTTTCTTCAACAGAGAAACCAAAAAAATGGGATAACATCATTTTCTTCCTAATTATACTTTCAGATTCCATGGACTATCATATGCATCATTACCTCAATCACCTTCTAATAACTTCAGGTGCAGTGATTCTGCCAGCCCTGGGAGGACTCTGAGAGAAGAACCAAGGATCTGGGCATCAGAAAGATGAGTCTACTCCAAGTGAAGCCATACTAACTTAAGTATGGTGCCATTGGCTCCAGTTTCTGTGCACCTTGACATTTACCACTTGGACAGCCCATCCCTGTGGTCCTTATATTCTGAAGGTGCAGAATCTTTAGACTCTACTGGATGAGCTCCATGGTCAGGTTCCTCTGCCTCTTTATGAGGGGACTTTAGAGTAAGCATATTTTGTCCCAATATTATGAGCTAGAATGTTAGAATTTGATACAGAAATAATGTGTTTAATATGTGTTTTGTGTGTAACAGTGTGGTATACACAATGGTTATTATTTAACTCAGTAGAAAATTGTGTCACAGAGTCCAAAGTTAACAATGATGCAGTGGTGCAAACATCTTTGAACCTTAAGTTTTGCCTCCTTGAGGACAAATGAACACTTAGTGCATGGTTCCACCCCATGTCTTGCCTTCATTAGAAGTTCATGGAGGGGGGGCTTTCATGCTATGAAGAATAGATTTGCATGCCAGCTTTTCTGTGTGGATCTATATCATGGTTGTGTCACCTGTCATAACTTTGCTGTGAATGAGGATATCATTGACATTCATTTCTACCTCAATTCTTGTATGAACATAATGGAGAGAAATTTCAGAGGTCCTTAATATCTTTCATATATAAAGACAATGTGGTTCTTCAAATTCAGGAGGGAAAGTTTCTCTTAATCTTTTGAGAGAAACAAAGATTTTGTTACTTGGATGGGGTGTTTTTTCTGGTTGCAGAGGGCAGATCATCCTGACCCAGTCTCCAGAGACCCTAGAACTAGTTCATGGTTCTTTTTTTATCTGTATCAACTATACAAACAGTGCACAGTTATGTGCCTTCATGGTCTGGTACTCAGAGAATCCTCAGGTGGCTCCCAGGTGAACATCTTTGGAAATTTTACTCAGGCCACTAGAAACTTTTCCAGGTCCAGAGGAAGGGGCACTTTATTTGACTTGTCTCTTACCAACCACATTGTGGAGAACAGTGAGTTGTTTTACTACCAGCATCACACCAGCTAGCCTTTCACAGTGAGAGATCCCCAAACAAAAATACCCCTTTTGGACTATTGACTCCTGTTTCCATAAAAGAAACCTACTCTATTGCAGAGATACAATGTGAGAGGTTTAAAAAGCCCATATTGTTGATATACAAATTCTCATAAAATTGTAAGAAAAGGCTTCAACTCTTAACAACAATATGGATAGAATAAGGTGCACAATTTAATCAATGCTTACTATGTACCATAAATTGAGCAAGGAATATGACTGAAAGAAAAAAAATTAAAATAGTAGACTGAGACATTTAGATAAGAGTTTGGAGGTCAGGAAGCATGATTCAAGTGCTATGCAGCCTGCCATGCAAGTGCAGGGCCCTAAATTCAAGCCTGAGTACTATAAAAAATGTGAGATTCTCAGTAGAAGACACATGAGTCAACTTCCTTCCAAAAAGAGGGATGTTGAAGATGAGGAAATGTGAAATAGAGTCAAAATCATAGTTACTTAGAAGAATACTAAGAGGAAATGAGGAGACTCCTTCCTTGGCAAAAAAAAAAAAAGCAGAGGACTATTCTCAATGGAAAAAGGCCTTCAAAGTGCTTTCTGTACAGTACATTCCACTTGGCACATTGCTCAAACTGAAGAGGAACAATAATTCCAAACCTGCAATACATCCCAAATCTGACTACTCTTCACCTCCATTGCCACATCCTAGGAAAAACCTCTGCCTTCTTTCACCTAGCTATGCCCCAAATCTCCTTAAAACCATTATGCTTTTTTCTTCACTAGTTCTTCCTTGATAAATGGTGACCACTCTCAGGATCTCAAAGCTGTGGCAGTAAGTGCAAGTTCTCAGTTCTTTTTTCCCATAATCATAGATTGCCTCACAACTCACTCTGACCTTCTATTATCTCCTAATAGTGTGATCCAAATATTTGCTAAGAACTGAGCTGTAACTGCTGAGAGGCTTTACTTTGCAAACCCTCACAATGTAACCACTGATGGGAGCCTTTTGGATTAGCCAACATCTTCCCCACACAGGGAGAGGTTTGCGACTGAGTGAAAGAAGTTGCTATTCATGAGATGCAATCAGATTTTAATACTTCTTCCACTCTTCTTATCTCTTTCTTACGCAGAATTCTTTTTTATGTCCCTTAAGCATGGCAGTCCTTGTAGCAGGGAAGCACGAAAGAGACTAACACTGTTTGGTGTTAGTATATTACAAGGGAAACTAGAAGGTAAGAGAATGAATTTGTAAAAAATTCATTTTTAAAATAAAAATAAAATAAAATGAATTTGAATTTCTCAAAGTGTTTTAAGATTCTGAAGACATTGTTACAATATGACCAAG